AAGCAGCAAGAGCTAAGGGGACAATCACCTACAAAGGAGTCCCCATCAGACTGTGAGCAGATTTCTCAAAAGAGACCTTACAGGCAAGAAGGGGCTGGAAAGAGGTATTCCAAGTCATGAAATCCAAAGACCTACAACCAAGATTGCTCTATCCAGCAAAACTTTCATTTAAAATGGAAGGACAAATAAAGTGCTTCTCAGATAAGATCAAATTCAAGGAGTTCATCATCACCAAGCCCTTATTATATGAAATGTTAAAGGAACTTATCTAAGAAAAAGAAGTTAAAAAAGATGAACAGTGAAAGGACAGCAAACTCACAGTTATCAACAACCACACCTGAAACAAAAGCAAACTAAGAGGACAGCTAGATCAGGAGCAGAACCATAGAAATGAAGATCACATGGAGGGTTAGCAACAGGGGAGTGGGAGAAGGTGAAGGGGGGAGAAGGTACAGAAAACAAGTAGCATAGATGGTAGGTAGAAAATAGATAGGGGGAGGGCAAGAATAGTAGGGAAAATATAGAATCTAAAGAACCTATGACACATGGACATGAACTAAAGGGGGGGAATGTGGGGGGAGGGGTTGTGCAGGGTGGAGGGGAACGAAGGGGGGAAATAGAACAACAGTAACGGCATAATCAATAAAATATATTTTAAAAAAGAAACAATATCTAGCACTAAGTTGGGGATTAGCTTTAAAAGGTACATATTATTGAACACTATAAAACCTTTAAAGCTATAACATAATATTACATTTTGCCACATGGAAAAATGTTCACCAGGTGTACAAAGTCTGTCTGGAAAAAAAGTCCAACCACCGTTAATATAATGAGAATGGTTTGCACATCAAGGTAACCTAGCAGCCAAGGAGAGTGGACTGGAATGTGCATGTGTGAACAATGATGACCTTCCTGTACTAGTCAGTGGGAGCCATAGACTTCATTGAGTGAGCATGTGTACTGTGTGGCGTCACATTCAGAATGACTGGGTGAGTAGAGCAACAAATCTGCATCTAATTTTGTTTTAAGCATGAACATTCCTCCATGGAAACTATCTGGGTGATTCAGAAGGCTGCAGCTATGGGCAACCGGTGATTGATTGGCAGCTTCATCACAGCAGTGCGCCCACTCCTGCATCAGGTCTCATGCAGAGGTTTTTTTGGCAAAACATCAAATCACTCAGGTGACTCAACCCCACTACAGCCCAGATTTGGCTCCCTGCAACTTCTGGCTTTTCCCAAAACTAAAAGCACCTTTGACAGAGAAGAGATTTAAGACCGTTGAAATGGTCAGGAAAATACAACAGGGCAGCTGATGGTGATTGGGAGAACTGTGTGAGGTCCCAAAGTGCCTACTTTGAAGGGGACTGAGGCGTCATTTTCCTATGTACAATGTTTCTTGTATCGTGCATCTTCTTTAATATGTCTCTATTTTTCATATTACATGGCTGGATACCTTCTGGACAGATCTTAAATTTAAGTCAAAAGCATATGAGAAAGCAATATACAGCCATGTACCACTTAATGACAAGGACACGTTCTGAGAAATTTGTTGTTAGGTGATTGCGAGAACATCATAAGTGTAATTACACAAACTTACGTAGTATAGCCTACTGCACACCTAACAAAACAACACAAGATTAAAGCAAGCACAATAAAAAAGGATACAATCAAGACATAGTAAATGTGAGATGTATAAGGCTGAAGAAGGCCTAACATGCATATTGTTTTATAGCAAATACTTAAAAATTTTTAATAAGTAGAAAGATCACATGCTAAAACAACAACTTCCCAAGGAACTTCCAAAATGTCCTTCAAAGAGTGACATTAAGGCAGCCCTGAGGATGTCCAGGATCCCTCAGCAACACATGGCCTCCCCCAGAGCAGAAAGCAGCTAGACTGCTGATTGACAAGAGCAGCATCGAGGGAGGAAGTGGCCCAGCACTAGCTTGGCAGCTGCCTGCCCAGAAGAGCTGCATCGTTGGTGGCATATGGGGCCCAGGAGGAGGTGGGAAACGGCCCACTTCAGTGTCCCAACATCCCAGAGGAGCAAAGGGTTATAACTGACGGAAGTGTAATAAAGCAGTCCAAAGCAGATGGAACCAGCTATGGATGTTGTGAAATATGCCATTGTCTTATTGCTACAAATATTATGACTTTTATTAAAACAGAAAATGAAAACATTAAAAACTAGCATGCCCCATCAACTCTCATATATTCCCCTGTTTATCCCAATGTTCTCTCTAATCCACACCCACTGGCAAATAGCCTTTAAACAAATTTTTATTGCAAAATATACAGACATGAAAAGTGCACAAAGCATAAATGTACAGTTTATAGAATAATGTAAGGGAAACACTACTATTCATGTCAAACAGAGCATAGTCAAGATTTCAGAAATCCCCCAGGTGTCTCCCCTGGTCAAAGTGCCCTTTATGCTCTTCAGCCCAGAGTTTTTACTGCTGTGACTTCTGTGACAACTATTTCCTTGCTTTTCATCATAATTTTCCACCTGTGCATGCATTTCTAGCCAATGTGATTTCATTTTTGCTAGTATTGAACTGTATATAAAGACAATCATACTAAAAACAGTCTTTTGGGGTTCTTTTTCCTCAACACCATGCTTGTGAATTTCACTAGTGCAGCTGCATGTGATGATAGTCATTCATTTTCATTGCTATGCAATACTCCATAATATGAATGAGCTGCAATTTGATTATCTGTGCTGCTGGCGATAGATCTTCCAAGTGTTTCCAGTTTGGGGCTATCATGAATAATGCTGCTTTGAGCTCCTTAGTTGTGTGTCTGATGGAAATTTGCACATGTTTCTCTAGGTATATACTACCTAGGAGTGGAGAAAGAACCAACCTGATAAATAACTGGTATCTCACTGTGAATTAAATGGGTGGTTTTATCTACTGAAAGTAACACCTTTTGATGTTTTGGCCACTTGGTTTCCTCTTTTGAGATGAGGCTGTTCAAGTCCTTTGCTCATTATTCTATTGACATTATTATCTTTATTGTAGTTTGAATATAAGTGCTTTTTAAGAATCTTTGTCCCCCCTACAAATGATCTTTTATTTCTGTTTATTTTAATCAAATTCATCAATCTTTTTCTTATTCTTGTTTGTTCTATTTCAATTGTCCCAATTTCCCCCCTTTGCACTCATCTGTCCTGACCCACTCCCTGCTCTCAGTCTGTCCCCACACCATTGTCCATGTCCATGGGTCATTCATACATGTTCTTCAACTACTCCCTTCACTTTCTTTCCCCCATTCCTCCCCTCCTCCATTTCCTCTGGCAGCTGGCAGCCTGTTCCCTGTTTCCATGTCCCTGGTTCTATTTTGCTCATTAGTTTATTTGTTCATTAGATTCCTCTTATGAGTGATATTATATGGTAATTATATTTCACCATCTGGCTTATTTCACTTAACATAATGCTCTCCAGTTCCATCCATGCTGTCATGAAGGATGGGAGTTCTTTATTTCTGCTGCGTAGTATTCCATTGTGTAGACGAACCACAGTTTTTTAATCCATTCATCTATCGATGGATACATAGGCTGTTTCCAACAACTCTGATATTGTAAATAGCACTGCTATGAAATCAGAGTGCATAGGTTCTTTTGAATTAGTGTTTCAAGATTCTTAGGTTATATAACTCACAGTGGAATCCTTCTTTATGATTGGTATTTTAGGTATAGTATTTAAAATCTTTACCTACCATGAAGATATTTTTATATTATATTTTCAAATCTTTATTCACATTTGGATCTATAATCCACCTAAAATGGGAAATTGGTTAAGGTGTCAGCTAAAAGTTAAGTTTATTTTCTATGAGAAAATCCATGTACAACATAAAAATGCCTATTTTCCTAACACCACTTATTGGAAGGAAAAATAGTCTTTTTCCATTTCTCTGCCATGAAAATCTGACCAGAGATTGCTTTTTTGCAACCACCCCCTTCCCCAACAGTGGCTGTCAATCTTAACTGATTTTCATTCTGATATAAATCAGCAGCCCCCCTTGACTCCTGCAATGTCATGGTTCATGACACAGGTGGTTGTTCTGACCTGGTCACACTTGGTCAGACCTAGTAGCATTTGGACATCAGTTCCTGTGACTATCCACTCTCACTCCCCTGCCTTTACTCTATCTAATTCTTTGGCACCTGACAAGCGGTGTAAGGATCCATTTCATCCTGCAGCCATTCAAGATGCCTTGTGTGTAAGGTGCCTCCAACAAACTCTACTAATCATCATATAAATAAATAAATAAATAAATAAATAAATAAATAAATAAATAAATAAAAATACATAAATATGTGCATGTATGTGTGCATCTGTCCAAGTGGGTATGGGATCTCTATTCTGGTCCATTAGTCTAGGTCTCTATGTCCCCAACAGTACCACACTATCTCATTACAATAGTTTTATTTGCTAATGCAAGACCCTATTTTATTCTCATTCTTCAAGAGGGTCTCGGCTATTGTTGGCCATTTGTTTTTCTACGTGTATTTAGAATCAATTAAATTCTACCACTTATTTCTTGGGTGCAATGAATCTATAGATCACTTTTCGGAGAACTGACATTCTTTAAATGTTTTATCTTCTAATCCACAAACAACGAATATCTTTATGTTTAGGACCTCTTAAGTATCTTTTAATATGAATACAATTTTATCATTTTCACTGAGGAGAACTTGCACATCATTTTTAGCTTTATATTTAGTTATTTGATAATTTTCATGCCATTTAATATTAATTTTTCCAAAATTTTATTTTCTATCAGTATTTTTATATATAGAATTGTGTAATTGTTAAATATATTTTGTCTCTAGCAAATTTGTTAAACTATCCTTCAAATTGTAATAATTTATCTATGGATCCTTGGCATTATCTATGTACATATCCTGTATAAATAAATTTCTGTCCCTATATCTTTCACATGTATTTCCTACCTAAATACGCTTGCTAAAATCTATAGCATAATATTGAAAAGATCGCTTCTCGGCCTTTGGGCTAAGATCAAATGTAGTATCTGTTCTTATCAGTTTAATATTGAAAAGAAATGATGACCATGGCTACTTATGTGAGTGTCCTTGTATTGTGTCTCTCTCAAACAGAAAGCTTTCAACATGTCACCATTAAGTATAATGATTGCTGTGGCATTTTTGTGGATGCCTTTTATAATATTATAAAGACATTCTTTTCTATTCCAAATCAACTAAGAATTTTTTAATGTATGAGTTTCAATTTTAGCAAATGCTTTCTTTTCATTTTGCTTCAATTAAATAATTAGACATAGTTTCTTCTTTCATCAATAAATGTGACAAGTTAATAGCAATTGAGTGTCCAATGAAAAGCCCCCATACCTAGGATGAACCTACATGAGTCATGATATACTATCTTTTTGCTTATTGATTGATTTGCCTTGCATCAATATTCAAGTGACTGTGGCCTGTAACATTCTTTTTACATATTGTCTTCATGGGGTTTGACATTGAGGTTTTGCTAGTCTCATAAAGGAGATGGGTAGCATCGACTCTCCAGAAGAAATTCTATAGCATTTTTTTAATGTTTTGTAGAGATTTCCAGTGAAGCCACATGAGCCTCTGGCTGTCTGTGATGAAATAGTTTTGATAATTAGATCAATTGATTTCATGTTAATGGGAAAATCCAAACTTCTTAAGTATATTTTATCTATGCTTCTTGAGTTATGTTTTCTAGAGATTTGTCAATTTTATGTCAGTTTTCAAAATTATTGGCTTTCCAATACTTATAAGATAGAATAAATAAGATTTACATATATAAATATATATATATATATACATATATCTCCCAGATTGAAACCTTTTCTCAGTCATTGCAAATATTTTTGCTCAATTCTTAGCTTTACATTTCACTATCATAATAGTGTCTGATGGTCAGAATTTCTGAAGTTTTTATGTAAATCAATTTATCCATTTTTCCATTGTAATTATAAATGGTTAATGTTTTTATATCTTGTTTAAAATAATTTTCCCTACCTTAGGTTTATAAAGAAATTCTATCTTATCCTTTAAAGTTTTATTTTTACCTTTAAATTAATTAATTAGAAGTATTAAATAGTCCAGTTTCACCTTTATTTATTTGTACCTAAAAATTTTGCTATGCATTATTTCCATCATTATTAATTATTTTAACTTATTTTTTTATTTATTTTTTAAAATTGATTATGCTGTTACAGTTGTTCTATTCCCCCCTTCATTCCCCTCCACCCTGCCCCCCCATCCCCACCATTACCCCCCTTTAGTTTATGTCCATGTGTCTCAAGTCCTTTAGGTTCTATATTTCCCATGCTATTCTTGCCCCCCCATCTATTTTCTATCTACTGTCTATGCTACTTATTTTCTGTACCTTCTCCCCCCATCTCCTCCTCCCACTCCCCTGTTGCTAACCCTCCTTGAGATCTTCATTTCTATGTTTCCACTCCTGATCTAGCTGTTCTTTTAGTTTGCTTTCGTTTTAGGTGTGGTTGTTAATAACTGTGAGCTTGTTGTTCTTTCACTGTTCATGTTTCTTTAACTTCTTTTCCTTAGATAAGTCCCTTTAACATTTCATATAATAAGGGCTTGGTGATGATGAACTCCTTGAATTTGATCTTATCTGAGAAGCACCTTATCTGTCCTTCCATTCTAAATGAAAGTTTTGCTGGATAGAGCAATCTTGGTTGTAGGTCTTTGGATTTCATGACTTGGAATATTTCTTTCCAGCCCCTTCTTGCCTGTAAGGTCTCTTTTGAGAAATCTGCTGACAGTCTGATGGGGACTCCTTTGTAGGTGATTGTCCCCTTAGCTCTTGCTGCTTCTAGGATTCTCTCCTTCATTTTAATTTTGGCTAATGTAATGATGATGTGCCTTGGTGTGTTTCTTCTTGAGTCCAACTTTTTTGGTACTCTCTGAGCTTCTTGGATTTCTTGGAAGTCTATTTCCTTTGCCAGATTGGGGAAATTTTCTTTTATTTGTTCAAATAATTTTTCCACTGGTGGCTGTGTCTTTCCCCCTTCTGGTACCCCTATAATTCGGATATTGGAGCGTTTAAAGATGTCCTGGAGGTTCCTAAGACTCTCCTCATTTCTTTGAATTCTTGCTTCTTCACTCTTTTCTGTTTGGCCATTATTTGCTTTCTTCTGGTCCACTCCATTGATTTGAGTCCCAGTTTCCTTTTCATCTCTATGGGTTTCCTGTGTAATTCCATTCATTTCCATTAGTTTAGCCTTCATATGTTTCTCTAATTTGTGGCTATAATCAACCAGATCTATGAGGATCCTGATGACCGGTGTTTTAAACTGTGCGTCTGAGAGTTTTGCTATTTCTTCGTCGCTTAGATTTATCTCTGGGGCTTTGAGGTCTTCCTGCGACATTTTTGGTCTGTTCTGGCCCTTTGAATGTGAGAAGCGGCGCCTTGGACTCCCAGGTCGCTGGGTTGTGACGCTGTATGTGGGGGCGTGGTCAGAGCGGGGAAATGGCGGCGCCCTCTACTGCCGCTGCCACGGGGACCGCCGGGGCCCCGGTCCAACCGCCCACTCCCTCGCCTGTCAGCTCGCCCGCAAATAGGCAACCGCAGTCAACACGCAGCACCGCCTCCCCACTGTCTCCTCTGCAGTCGCTCACCCGGTGGGTTGTTCGGTCGCTCACTAGGTCCAATCCTGCGTTTGGGACCCGTGCATCTGGATTCACGTCTGGATTCCGAGCCCGGGTCTGACCCAGTCCTCCTGTGCAACCCCTTACTAGACGCCGGTTTCGCCCCTTACCGGTCTGGCTGAAGAATTTGTTGTTAACGGACTTCTGAAAAGTTCAATTTTCCGTGTTCTGGTTGTGTTTTCGGATGCTAATATTTAGTTGTCCCTAAACTTGGTTGTGTGAGAAGGCACGGCACATCCACCTATACCTCCATCTTGGCGGAAGTCTTAACTCATTTTTTATGTCCCTTATGATTTGGATTTTGATTTGTGATTTATTTAACAGTCTATATCTTTATTTTTAAATATATAGAGGAATTTTCTACTCATATTTTTGTTATGAGTTCCTGGCTTAAATTCATTGTTGGATCACAATGGAGTATAATTTTAATCCTTTAAGCATGTTTAAGACCTAATCTGTGGCCAATATTTTGTAAATATTCTACATGTGATTGTAAAGGGTAGGATCTGCACTTGTTCAGCAAGGTGTTTCATATATGCTCATTTTTTCATCAGCTATTTATAACTTTTACAGTATTACCAATCAATTTATTAAATGCATCTTAAAACCCCAAACAACAGTGAAGTTGTTTCTTCCCAGGTATTATTCATTCATTGCTGCTGCTGAGAATTCAGCCTTTGATCACTATTCAGTTGAAAGTCATCTTTCTTTCTCTAGTAATCTCTCTTTCTTAAGATTTCTGCCATTTCTTTATGATATTGTTTTCTGAGTATGTATTTTTTATTCCTTTACTTTTATTTTATTTACCTGTACTAACCATAAATTTAATGTTGTTCACTGGGGTTTTTTATTAATTCTTACCAGAGGGCATGTTTATTGATTTTTAGGGAAAGGGGAAGAGAGAGAGAGCAATAGAAACATAGGTGTGAGAGAAAACATTGCTTGATTCCACCTGTGTGCACTATGACCTGGGACCAAACCCTCAAGCTCAGTATGTGCCCTGACTGCAATCGAACTTGCAAAATTTTGATATACAAGATGATGTTCCAACCAACTGAACCACCTGGCCAGGGTCATTGTTCATTTGTTTGGAAAAAATCTCAACCACTACCTCTTACCCCTTATCTTATTCCCTTTTTTCATCCAGAATTCCAATTATATGTAAATTAAACTAAATATATTATTTTCTACATTTTTGTCTTTATGCCCCTCTATGCTTTATTCTTGACACCTTCCTCTGAGCTACTGCACATTGCAAATTGTCCTTTCATCTTTATCTAATCTGTTATTATTTTCATCCACTGCAACTTTAATTTTGCTTGTTACATTTTTCACATTTAAAAATTGTATTTAATTCTCTTTCAATTAGTATGTCTCTTTTTAAAATTTTATGTTCCCTGCAACTCTTTTAAACTTTATTTTTAGATCAACATATTTGTTTTGAAATCTGTATAAGATTGTTCCCTGTAATATTCTTCCAACCATTAAAGATTTGTTTCGATGTTCTCATTGTCATGGGTTCTTAGTCATGGTGTCTTATTTCTTTGTTTCCTTGTTGATCTTATTGCCAATATGCTTGTCATTATCAATGAAAACATAATTTTTAGATGTGATTCAAATCTGGAATTAAGTGAATTTCCTTTAGATTTGTATTGGATTCTGCCAGCTACTTTGGGATACATCCATAATCGCAATAATACAACATTAAGGTCTGAGATTCCATGAAAATTGCAACTACTTCCAATCTTTCATGAATTACTTGCAAGGATTAGCCCATTACCCTTCTTTGTTCTTTTGAGACTGCAGGCTTTTCAGGTCCCAGCTTCCTGTGGGGAGGGGCTCTGACTAGACGTTGGGTGATTTGGTTTTGTTTTCTCCTCTCCTCACTTTATAAGGTCATCAAACCACAGACTCAAATTTTGTGCGTTCAACAAATATCCTCAGAGAAATAGCTACCTAACTGGACTCCCATTCACTTTTGGTCTTGGCACTGCATTAAACCTTTGGAGGACAGACATTTTAATCCCATCTGTTGGGGGTTGTTTATAGTGGGAAGGCTGGCATGCAATCCCAGGTCACTATTAGTGAAATCATCTCTATAAATCTCTATTCAGATTGTTGGATGCATACATTTTACTCCCCTTTCTCAAATGTGCAAGCTGTGTTTAAATTAGACTAATATTTTTTCAACAAAATCAAGTGTTAAAAAATGTTAAGTAAAAATAAAAATTACTCGATATGCTAAGACAGTAATAAAGCTATTACACTATGTCTCTTCTTCTTCTTTTGCACTTCTTTTTCCACTATTTCTTTTCAGATGTGAAAAAATATCATGATATCGCAATCATAAAGCATGTATTAGAGAAGGGATTAATTTCTTTACATTTCTGAAAATAAATGAAAACATATATATTTACATAAAAAGAGAGGAGCTGAAACTTTCAGATTTTCAAGTGGGCCTACCACAACCCTTAAAAAATTAAAAATTGTGTTAATTAACAATTCTGAAATTTTTGCAAAAATTATACTGGGTTACATTTCTCTGGTATACACATACTATTCTAACTAGTTTTAAGTGTGTCTCATGACCCACTGTGTTACTCTGCAATAAATTGCCAGGTCTTACTCTCAATGTTTGAGGGGTAGTTCCAGTTCTCTGGATTTATTATAGGGAGCACAGCAAGGATATAACACCATCTTAAACCTGCCTTCCCCCCTCTACTGTGAGCAAAAAAAATGAGATTTGGCTGATACATCAAATAAATAAGAGATGAAATAGGAGCTTATATGTTTTGCAGGCAGGCTATGACAGCTCTCAACAAAATCATCTCACAACGCTGTTTCTGCACACAGGAACCTTCTGAGACACAAAGGCCTTCATCTTGAGTAGGAAGCAAACAAATACAAGTATTCAACAGTGTCATAACTTTTAGTGAGAACTTCTCTGGGCTCAAGTGACCTGACAAAGTTACCCTCAGTGGCACAATCTTTATCTTCCATTTCCTTCTCTGTCAGTGCCTTTCACTCATTCAGGAGTGAGAGCTACTCAATCTACCTCACCACCTTCCAGAAAGTGGTGGGAGCAGCCAGGGTTTTGGCAGGTAGCCAGGGCCCAAATGCTGAGGACAGGCAGGCTTCAATCCCAGAGCAATAGAAAATGGAAGCTCTGGGTAGCTAGCAGTGTTCAAGCCTTGTTGAGACATTGTTCAATAGGGTGGGTTTGGGCTTCTGGAACACCAGGCCCAAATCTCCTCTCCTTGTGCCCTAGTTCCATTACCCCTGAAGCACTTACTCAGCAACTGTGGGAGACGCATTGGTGGCTTGGATCACCTCTCTTCCTCCAAGTCACTGGCAGCTGGTAGGCCAGCCAGGGCTGATGAAACCTACCACACTCCCAGAGGAATGGAACTGTGAACCACCTAGTCCCCACCCACCCTCCCTTCCTTCCTTCCTCTCTGGGAAGGCTAAAAGTCTGGCAGGAGGAAGTACCAGCAGCAACTGTTCAGCAGCCTTCCCTGGAAGATGCAGCTCCTCCTCATCCTGGTGGCCTTCCTCCTACCTCCTGGGGCTGGAGCAGGTGAGTGACCATCCAAACCCTCATAGGCCCATCCCCATCCCATACACTCTGGATCTAGACATCCTAGTCACTTTCAAATTCTGTGTCATTGAGCACATCATTTGAATTCACAGTACTCAGGTTCCTCATCAGTGAAAAGGAATAATAGCAATGCCTACCTTATACAGTTGCTATGACAGTCAGTTAGTGTACATGAAACTCTTGGAATTGCCCCTGGCATGCAGCATGTGCTCTGCAACTCTGCTCTTTGAATTCCCTCTACAGCCCATGTATCAAAACCTAGGAGACAAGGATACAGCAATAACAGCCCCATCAGTTCATGTCTAGATTCTTACAGAAACAGTCCATGCTGCTCATGAGCTGGTCATGAGTTGGAAAAACAGGAATCAGGAAAGCTCCTTGGATAAAAAAGTACCAGCAAACTTTAGGTGGAAGCAACTCCAGAAGGCTCTGGATCCCAACAGCACAGATCTCTCCACCCTAGGAGAGAGGCCTAAGAGCTCTTGCCTGCAGCAAGGATTTTTCTCCTTTGGGGGAGGCAGAGGGAGGTGAGGTCTGGGCTGGGGAACCAGCCTTGTTTCCTGCAGGCCCCTGGAGCCCTCTCCCATGATGTGGTTCCCTGCAGACCCCAGTTCTCACCACCAAATCCTCCTCTCCCTGCATCATCTCTGTAGCCTCCCCACCTCCCAGCCTTTCTGGAGCCACCAAACTGACACTTCAGTGAGCAGAGTAATAACTGCTGAATACTTCCTTTCAGAGGAGATCGTTGGAGGCCGTGAAGCCAGGCCCCATTCCCACCCCTACATGGCGTATCTTCGCATCCAGTCACCAGGGGGAGGAGCTGCTTGTGGGGGCTTCCTGGTGCGAGAAGACTTTGTGATGACAGCAGCTCACTGCTTGGGAAGGTGAGGAACCAAGGAGCTCTCAACAGCCAGCAAGGCACATCCAGAAGCATTCATGAGAGCATAAAGCTGAAATTGGGGTTCCAGCAAGCAAGGGGTGAATAGTGACTGGTTATGTCCTAAGGGGCTAGACTGGACACAGCCCACGGTAGGACAGAAGCAGGAGACAAAAAGCATGTATTGGAGCTCCAAATATAAATTTGAGCTACTTATTAATTTACCCTAGTAATTAATTTCTCTTTAGAGTCACAGTGTTCCCCACCCCCAGCCCAAGCTTTGTGAGAAGCAGAGGACACAGCAATCTCTGGCCCAGAGCCCTCCTGTCCCCTCACTTCCCTCAGCTGCTGTCTTGCTGCCCTGGGCTCCCCACCTACTCTGCAGATCTTGGGGACTTTATCTCATGTAACTCATACCTACCTCTAAACCACCTTCCTTTGCAGCACTATAAGGGTCATCCTGGGGGCGCACAACATCAGTAGGCAGGAAAGGACCCAGCAGCGCATACAGGTGCGCAGAGCCATCCCACACCCTAGATATCGCAGGCAGAACCTTCAAAATGACATCATGTTACTGCAGGTACGTTCTACCTGACCCTCTGGTTCTCCAACTGAGTGGGCTCCCTCCCAGGTCCAGGCTTCACCTTGTCCTTGGTCCATGGAGAAGGAAGCAGGGGCAGAGACCCAGGGGTGGTGTGCTGAGCTCTGCATAGATTTCCCCTAAATGCCTGTACTCTTTGCACCAGCTGGAAAATAGAGCTACGCGGAATCAATTCGTGAGGCCAGTGGCTCTGCCTCAGTCCCAGGCCCAGCTGAGACCTGGGTCCCGGTGCACTGTAGCAGGCTGGGGCCTGGTGGGCCAGAACAGACCAACAGACACACTCCGGGATGTGCAGCTGGAGGTGCAGAGGAATCAAGTATGCAGCAATACCTTTAATGTCTTCAATGGCCAAAGCCAGATTTGTGTAGGAAACCAAAGGGAGAGGAAGACCGCCTTCCGGGTAAGGCCCTAGGCATCTGCCAACACTACCTGAGGCATCTGGGAAGAACTGGGCTTGGGAACAGACTACATCCCCATGACTTCAGGGTTGGAGTCAGACCAGAGTAAAGTGGGGGCTTTTACCCATCAGTGCAGTCTCTGAGGGGAGGGGAGGACTGCCTGATACACAACATGCATATGCAGTGTTTTCATGGGAAAGGTAAAGGTATCTTGACTTAGGTTGAGCTAGGGACAGTACCCACTGCCAGGGTTGAAGCCTAACCAATGAAAGATGCAGGAGCTTGAATTCCTACCCCCACTGTCTTCCCATCTCACACAGAGGTTTGTGCTATAGGACAAAAAGAATGGGGAGGTATGGACTGTGGAGGCTTGGTTTAGTATCCATTTCTTTCATCACCCACAGGGGGACTCCGGAGGCCCCCTTGTGTGCAACAATGTGGCTCAAGGCATTGTCTCCTATGGAAATGGAGTTGGAACCCCTCCAGAAGTCTTTACCAAGGTTTCCAGCTACCTGCCTTGGATAAGTAGAACAATGAGACTCTTTAAAACAACAAGGAATCAAAAGAGACATCACACCACCCCACCTCTAATGGACTCTTCTTCTCTGGAACAGAGCTAGTTGTCAGAGATTTAATAAATGCCCGTGTCTCGAGTGCAAATAACTGTTTTCTCATGTTATTAAACGTCATTCTGCACAAATGTATCCAGGACTGAGTCTGAGCTTCTCTGGGAATATGGGGTCCTTTCTTTCCCCAGGACAAATGAACCTCCCATTCCATCCTTGGGGACAGAATCACCTACTTCCTTCCTCAAAGCTATTCATTCACCATCTCCCCTCCCCACACAGATTTAGAGCTTGATGGAAGGACACCTGTCTCCCCAGGGCAAGGCTCTCTGCATTCTACCCTACCAGAGGCACCCTGTCAGATATTAGGGTTTACCCCCAGCCCTGTGCCACTGGTGTGTGTAGCACAGGCCAACCAAAGGGAAAGAATTGAAATTCCATGAGAGATTCAATTTAACATGTGACAAAGGTGGTATCTCAAATCAATGAGAAACTATGAACTTTTAATACATGATGTTAAAACAACTAGATAGTTTGTGGTGAGGGGAAGCAAAATTGGACATACTCCTCACACCACGATCCTTAATAACTCTCAAATGAATCAGATATATAAATGCAAAAAATAAACCTTAGCAGTCCTAGAAGAATAAGATCTGCTTGCTCAAAAAATAGCTAATGAACACCTCTGTTCACAGTGGCACGAGTCCCATGGCCCAGAGATGGAAGCAAACCAAGTGTCTGTCAATAGCCAGACCCTGATGCAACCAACCCACACTGCTCTATAGACCAATGTCCTCATTTTTTAATTTGAAAGCCTTTTATAATTTCTTTTTTTAAATTACTTTCTTGTTGTTCAGTTACAGTTGTCTGCACTTTCCCCCCAACCCCAGCCAATCCCACCTCCTGCCCTTGCTTCCACCCTCCCCTTTGGATTTGTCCATGTGTCCTTTATAGTAGTTCCTGAAAATCCTTTCCCCACTGTACCCTCCCAGCTCCCCTCTGGCTATTGTTAGATTGTTCTCAATTTCAATGTTTCTGGTTATATTTTGTTTGCTTTTTTCTTTTGTTGATTATGTTCCAGTTAAAGGTGAGATTATATGGCATTTTTCCCTCACCACCAAGCTTATTTCACTTAGTATATTGCTCTCTGTGGTGGGGGGAGCTCTGCCCTCTGGACACCCCCACACATACCCAGCCCCACTGCCCAAGCAGCCACAGATGAGAATAAGTCTATAAAGACATGATCTGCTTGGGGAGGAAAAGTGGCCAATGTCTCAAAGGAGAAGGGCCAGGAGCCTTTTCCTCAATGGACTTTTATTGGGTTCAATTTGCACAGGAATACAGGTAAAGCTCATCAATCATTGTCAGTAAGGATCAAACAATAGATAATATACAAAGAACTACGTGAGCTTATTCTGAGTCAGAGTCAGTTAGCTAAAGGGCTACAAAATTTTGTGAAACAAATTCATTTCCTGTTCGGACCCTTACCAGAAAATTGAGGTCATTCTTAGCAAAGCAGTTTTCACAGGATTTTTTGTATTTGTTCTTAGGCCTGATTGCCCCAGGGAACCCACCCTTTCCAGCACAGGGCTGCACCACCCTCTATCATTGTTTCAGGCTTAAGTCAGGCAGGGGATGTAAGGGAGACAAGAGATTAGGAGACTTCTTGCAGACAGAATGAGGACTCAGGCTATGTCAAAGCCTAGGGGTGAGGGTCCATCACCCCCTTTTTATATAGTCCCCCATCCTTCCCTGAGGGGCCCCTTTGTGACCATGCCTGTTTTAGGTCATCCTTCCCTTGAGGAATCTTACTGGTCATTGGCTAACCAGTCAGGTTCAGAGCCAAGCAAGGTGAAGTAAAGGGGGCAGATATGGCACCCATGCCAGGGAGATAAGCTTTGTCTCCTTAGTGGCTTCTGGTTCCAAGGTTTCTCACTCAGCCTTAGCCATGGAGGGGGTACAGCTTCTGAAACCAGGCAGGGCAGTTTCCAACAGCTCTCCAGTTTTATTCATGCTGTCTCAAAAGGTAGGAGCTCCTTCTTCCTCTCTGCTGTGTAGAATTCCATTGTGCAAATGTACCATAGTTTTTTGATACACTCATTTACTAATGGGCACTTAGGTTACTTCTAGCACTTGGCTATTGTAAATTGTGCTGCTATGAACATTGGGGTGCACAGGTTCTTTTGGATTGGTGTTTCAGTGTTCTTAGGGTATAATCCCAGAAGTGGAATTGCTGGGTCAAAAAAGCAGTTCCATTTTTAGTTTTCTGAGGAAATTCCATACTGTTTTCCACAGTGCCTGCACCAGTCTTCATTCCCACCAAAAGTGCAGTAGGGTTCCCTTTTCTCCACATCATCTCTAACACTTGTTTGTTGATTTGTTTATGATAGCCATTCTGACTAGTGTGAAGTGGTATCTCATTGTGGTTTTAATTTGCATCTCGCTGATGGCTAGTGATACTGAGCATCTTTTCCAATGTCTCTGGGCCTTCTGTATGTCCTCCTTGGAGAAGTGTCTGTTCACATCTTCTGCCCATTTTTTAATTCAGTTGTTTGTCTTTCTGGAGTAGAGTCATGTGAGTTCTTTATATATTTTGGAGATTAAACCCTTGTCCATGGTATCATTGGCAAATATGTTTTCCCATATAGTTGGTTTTCTTTTCATTTTAATGCTGTTTTCTTTAGCCATGCAGAAGCTTTTTAATGTGATGAGGTCCCATTTGTTTATTCTTTCCTCTATGTCCCTTGCTCTAGGGGACACATCCATGAAAATGTTGCTGCGTGGAATGTCTGAGATTTTTCTGCTGATGTTTTACTCCAGGACTTTTATGGTGTCACAACTTATATTTAAAATTTTATCCACCTTGAATTTATTTTTCTGTATGGTGTAAGTTGGTGGTTGAGTTTTTTTGTTGTTGTTCTTTTTTTTGCACGTAGCTGTCCAGATCTCCCAACACTATTTGTTGAAGAGGCTATCTTTACTCCATTGTATGCTTCTGCCCCCTTTGCCAAATATTAATTGCCCATAGAGACTGGGGTTGATTTCCGGGCTCTCTGTTCTGGTCCATTGGTCTATGTGTCAGTTTCTGCACAAGTACCAGGCTGTTTTGATTACAGTGGCCTTCTAATACAGTTTGATATCAGGCATTGTGATCCCTTCTGCTTTGTTTTGTTTTTTTGCTTCATCAATTTTTTTATTCTTTTAATTTATGTTTTTTATTGATTATGCCATTACAGTTGTTCTATTCCCCCCTTCATTCCCCTCCACCCTACCCCCATCCCCACCATTACCCTCCCTTTAGTTTATGACCATGTGTCTCAAGTTCTTTAGATTCTATATTTCCCATGCTATTCTTGCCCTCCCCCCATCTATTTTCTATCTACTGTCTATGCTACTTATTTTCTGTACCTTCTCCCCTCTTCTCCTCCTCCCACTCCCTGGTTGCTAACCCTCCATGAGATCTTCATTTCTATGTTTCCACTCCTGATCTAGCTGTCCTTTTAGTTTGCTTTTGTTTTATGTGTGGTTGTTAACAACTGTGAGTTTGCTGTCCTTTCACTGTTTATGTTTTTTTAACTTCCTTTTCTTAGATAAGTCCCTTTAACATTTCATATAATAAGGGCTCGGTGATGATGAACTCCTTGAATTTGATCTTATCTGAGAAGCACTTTATCTGTCCTTCCATTCTAAATGAAAGTTTTGCTGGATAGAACAATCTTGGTTGTAGGTCTCTGGACTTCATGACTTGGAATACCTCTTTCCAGTCCCTTCTTGTCTGTAAGGTCTCTTTTGAGAAATCTGCTGGCAGTTTGATGGGGACTCCTTTGTAGGTGACTGTCCCCTTAGGGACAGTCTTGCTGCTTCTACAATTCTCTCCTTCATTTTCATCTTGGCCCATGTAATTATGATGTGCCTTGGTGTGTTCCTTCTTGGGTCCAACTTCTTTGGGACTCTCTGAGCTTCCTGGATTTCCTGGAAGTCTATTTCCTTTGCCAGATTGGGGAAATTCTCCTTTATTATTTGTTCAAATAAGTTTTCCACTTGTTGCTGTTCCTCTTCCCCTTCTGGTACCTCTATAATTCGGATATTGGAATGTTTACAGATGTCCTGAAGGTTCCTAAGACTCTCCTCATTTTTTTGAATTCTTGCTTCTTGACTCTTTTCTGTTTGGCCATTATTTGCTTTCTTCTGGTCCACTCCATTGATTTGAGTCCCAGTTTCCTTTTCATTGCTATTGGTTTCCTGTGCAATTCCATTCATTTCAATTAGTTTTGCCTTCATATGTTTGTCTAATTTGTGGCTGTAATCAACCAGCTCTGTGAGGATCCTGATCACCAGTGTTTTAAACTGTGTGTCTGAGAGTTTTGCTATTTCTTCATCGCTTAGATTTATAGGCTCTGGGGCTTTGAGATCTCCTTGAGCCATTTTTGGTCTGTTTGCACCTGTTAAGTATGAGGAGGGGAGCCTTGGACTCCCAGATCGCTGGTTTGTGATGCTGTATGTGGGGGTGTGGTCAAGCATGGAAATGGCTGCCCCCTCTGCTGTTTCCTACCGCTGGGTGAGGAGCAGAGTCTCAGGTGGTTCACCAGGGTAGGGCCACTTAGGCCGCTGGGTTATGACGCTATATGTGGAGGCGGGATCAGAGCGGGGAAATGGCGGCGCCCTCTGCTGCCACTCGCTGCTGGGCTGCTGGCTCCCATCCAATCTCCCACTCCCTCGCTTGTCTATCCACGCATGAATGCGCAACCACTATCAACCTGCAGCCCTGCTCCCTTGCTGTTTCCCCGCAGTCGCTTGCTGAGTTGCCCACCAGGTCCGACCCTGCACCTGGACTCCACATGCCTAAGTCCGTCTGACCGAGTTTTCCTGTGCAACCCCACTCCGCCAGCTGCTGGTTTCACCCCTCTTACCGGTCAGGCTGAAGAATTTGTCGTTATCAGACTTCCAAAAAGTTCAATTTTCTGTGTTCTGGCTATGTTTTCTGTTGCTAATATTTAGTTGTCTCTAAACTTGGTTGTGTGAGAAAGCACGGCGTCTCCACCTATGCCTCCATCTTGGCAGAAGTTCTGCTTTGTTCTTCTTTCTCAAAATTGCTGCAGCTATTTGGGGTTGTTTATGGTTCCAT